CTTTAAGATATATATATATATATACTCATCCAACATTGTCACATGTTATTGTGCGAGCAACTCTTTATAATATTTGTATTAGGAAATGCTCATTTAACTGTTGATAGAGTGGTTAACAGTGTCAAAACAATCTTCACAAGTACACCAAAGAATAAATATGTAGTGATCCTTGTCAAATGCTATAGCAATCATTCCTTATCAAAAGTTAAAAATGAATCACACGGATTAAAGCATGCCACACAAAGATTAAACACAATATTTGTCTCATCGAATCTATTATTGAGGCCTTGAAATTGTATATCTATTACATGGTAAAATAACTCAACTTAAAAATGATAAAAACTTATGATTTTTTTAGTACATCAACTCGATCTCCTATGTATTATAAATATCTCAATTATATTTGAAACAACCATATCAAGTTTCGCACATAAGTTAAACTTTGATTAATGTACACCATCCGTCATTTCTTATATTTTGAAAATTTTGCTTAAAAGGTATAACCAAAAACACGCAATTTATGATGTTGTAGTCGTTTTGTAAAATTTGAGATAATTCATTTGCACCCTAATATAGATTTCTTCAAGTGCAAATGAAAAATATATTTTAAAATATCTAAAAATACATATACTTTATCCATTTGCTTGCAATTTGAGCCATCTTTAATTATTATTTTGAAAACATCAATAATAAATTCAACCAAAAAAACTGATAAGCAACCCACTGTGTGAACAATAATATGTATCTCCAACACATTGAAGAGCGACTCTTGATTTAACCCACTACTAGTTGCTACTTCTCCATTTCATAATTGCTCAAAAACTTCATTAAATTGCTTCTCACATAGGATATCTCTTCTTTTACATAAATTTTTACTAATATTTATAAAATTAGGTACCAAATCAAAAAATAAAATAATTAGTACAATTTTTTAGACATGACAACAAATCGGATTTTATGCACAAAATGATATATATAATGAGATGAACAATTATCTATCATGATCAAAATTTTCAACCCATCAAATATAGTGCACTTATTGAGTGCTCCATCGTAACCCTGACTATGTATTCATGTATGCTCAACACATGCTTTAAAAAAAAGAGCTTCAATTGGTCATTTAAATGTTGAAGTAAATTTTTCATCAATATGTATGATCAAAAGGAGTTAAATGAAACACTCTCTTTAATAAACATAATAGAAGATGTAATAGCTACTTATATCTCGACTGATAGATATCAAGACTTATCAAATAGAATTAGCCCATTACTTAATTCATTGATGATAACATTCAAAGTCTCAAAAATAGTGGAAAAACGCAAGTTATCGAATTGATTTCTATTAAAACTTGTTTGGAATTTGTATTACGATCATCACCAATGAAAATACCAAATGTGCAGAATTTATTAATTTCAGTACTTCTAAAGTATCTCTTGCAGTGAAAAAAGATACATCGACTCAAACAACATCCTTGACAATATCATAAGATATTAGGCAATGAAAGTTTCGTTTAAGAAATAACATATTTGTACGAATTCACAAAAACACCTGTTCTTTTTCAACCACACAACAATCTCAACTACATCAAAATTAGAAACAAATGCTTAACAAATACCAAATCAATACATTTATCATCAATGTAACAAATCTTAAGTAGCTAGGTCATTATGCCAATAAAATTTATCAAAATTACAGAGAAATGTACCTTCGCCAAAGATCGAAGAGAGATCAATAGGCAAGTAGAACGACAACTCTGAAGCATGAAAATAAAAAAAGATTAGGAATACTGTAAAATGTCAGAAGGTAAAGAAGATTACTAAACGTATATGTTGAAAGATTGCCGCAGACCGTAGTCGAGGGGAAGGGCGGCGAACGAAGGCACCACGAACGCCGGAGCGAACTCGGCGAATGGCGCCGATTCTACCGAGTTGCGACCCGCTAGGCCGCTACAGTTCAGCGCAGTGGGACCGAGTCGAGAGTGGGGACGGCAGGTGGGCTGTAGGTTATTCGTTAGGTTATATATATATATATATATCATAAATTTTTTCATGAAAATATATTTTTTATTTTTTAGAAAAATTTACATACATAGCACTCATTTCTTATGCATTTACTTATCTCATACCCAAATTTTAATTTTTACATGGTAAGCACCCTAACCTATGTACGAGCCAAATACGAGCTAGCCCAGGCTAAGTTCGTGTCCGAATCGTTAAAAATATAATAGTTTGTACTCGACTCGTTTATATTTCAAACAAAAAAAAAAAAGAGTTCGCATTTGGCTCTTTTATATTTCAAAAAAATAATATTAAAGAATGAGAAGATTTAATCTTATTATTTATATTAAGAGGTATTAAATGACCCTTTGTATTGTAAGCACCATACAAAGTCATTTAACCATAGGATATTAAAGAATGAGACAAGATTTAATCTTATTATTTATATTAAGAGATCATTCACATATAATTTAAAATATTTTTATTTTATTTTTTAAATTAATAATTTTAATTAATTATAATTCTTTGTAGTCGTATATATATATATATATATAAAAGAAATGGCCAAAAGCTATTATACAGTGTTTGGTCACCCTTAGCGTGTCTATCAATTGAACCATTACTACAAATTTATTTGAACAACTATTTTGTGCTATATGTAGGTGACTATGTAAATGCCCCTAATTAAAAATAAATATAATAATTTGTAATAATTTATTACATAATTCATACAAATAACCCTATACAAATTACAAAAATGGTACTGGCAATATAACTTTTGCCAACAGGAATATGAAAAGCTAAATCCAATACAGCCATGCATGTAAGAGTTCAAAAGGCTCTGCAGTACTTTCAAAGTACACTCAGAAAATTTCAAAAATTACAAAATTACCTTTCAGCATTTATGTGAGAAAAACCAAAACAAACAGAATAATAAAAAGAATTATGAGGAAGAGTATTATCATAATCTGCCCCTTCACTCCAGCCTTTTTCATCACCACAGTAATCTTTTTCTGCAAGAGGTAAAGCAAATGAGTTAGATAAAAGTTTATATTGCACTCATTTTATAGAGGGGAATTTACATGCAAACCATTCAATTCTTATGTATTTACATATCTGACACTTGAACTTTGTTTTTTTACATTTATACCACCCAAATCTTTCCTATCACATCAAAAATACCATCTTTTAACTTTTTTAAAACTGAAATGCGCCCTTCAATTCCTAATGTATGTATATATTGAAGTTTAAGTGTTTAATATGTAAAATACATAGTAATTGGATGGTGTGTATGTAAATCTTCAAAAATAAATCTAGCAGTTGTAAAGTCCCATCCAGATTGAAAGTTTGGTTGAGATATCCTGATCCAATTTTTAATGTATAAAATAAAGAAAGGGACGATTACATACAAGCCACCCGAAACTTGCTATTTGCAGATCAATCACTCACTTTCATCCATTTTTCAAATTCCCGCTCAAATATCAAAATTCATGGTAAAACCCCAACCCATAATTCTCATTTTTATCAAATTTTCCGTAGTTTGATCGTGACACTCAAAAATAAATAGGTTTGGTTGTTCAAAAAAAAAAAAATACTTGGGTGGTTGATTTGTAAATATCAATGTTCAGGGTGATTTGTACATAATTATCCCAATAATAAAAGGATCATTGCATCATATGAAAAATGGAAAGAGAAAACCTGAACGAAGTCGAGACGATTTGCTGTAGTTTCCATATCTGTGCTCAGTTCGTCCAAGATTCTTTCCTATGAAATCATCAAGAAAAATTTATCAATTGGAGACGATTATAACAAAGCAAAATAAAGAAATTGTCAAAGTATTATAGAACTTTTCGTTGCAATTGAAACATAATCCCTTAGCTCCTCATTTAAGGGTGCGTTTGGACAGCATGTCCGCCGCGGCCACATTTTGAAAACGCCGCCTCACCGTTTGGAAACTGCATTTGAGTAATTTATCTGAAAACGCAGTAGGATTTTTACACTAAACGCAGAACGCGGATCGAACCCTGCGGTCCGTGTTTCCAAATAAGCGGCTTATTTGTATAAGTACAAGCTGCCCCAAACGCACCCTCATTCATATGGGAGAGTCTTGATTGGTGTATGATAACCAAATATTTTCTCAAATTTCTCACCTGTCCAACTAGTTCCTCATGTATGGTAAGTCCTATTCCTCCAATTTTCTGAACACTAAGGCTGAGTTCATCCAATTCCTCATCTTGTCGCCTAAAGCATCAGTTCGCTGTTAGAAGCAATCAGTAAAATGCACGCATTATATAGAACCAAAAAAAGTTACTCAGAAGATCCTGACCAAAATTTGGTCAAGATGAATTTCAATTAAGTTTATGGAAAATTTACATAAGTAGCACACAATTCTTATGTATTTACATATCTCACACCTAAACTTTTACATTTGCGAGCATGGCACTTTGGTGCTTTAAACCTATGAATGAAAAGCTGTATTTTACCTTTTAAAAGTGATAATGGTGCTATTTTTGATGTGATGTCAAAGATATGAGTGCTATGCGTGAAAATATGAAAATTTAGATATGAGATACATAAATACATAAGAACAATGTGCTACGTATGTAAATGCCCCTGAATTTATTTAAGATCAATGCAATATATATTTCTCGTGTGTGCGGTACAATTGTCTTTTATATTGCACTCACCTTAAAACAAATTCAATAATTTTCAGACCCATTCAGACCCAAAATTTGATCTTAATAACTTCCACTTGAAAATGAAAAGTAGCATTTACATACTAACTAACCAATTCTTATGTATTTACATATCGAACACCTAAACTTTATTTTTACATTTATACTACCGAAATCTTTCATATCACATTGCAAAAAACACCACCATTTTAAATTTTAAAAAGTGAAGTACACCTTTTCATACATATGTAAGGTGGCATATACGTAAAAATTGAAGTTTAGGTGTTAGATATGTAAGTACATCGGCATCAAGCGGTAAGAATGTAAAAAAAAAAAAAAAAGTTGCCAATTTGACTCTACCTCCATACGATTAATTGTCCATGTCTCAGTCACATCATAATACAGTAATAACCAACTAAGGGGTTAATAGCATGCATTTGCTTTCTTGTGCATAAAAATATTAAGTGACAGTTTGGGATCACTTTGATTTTTTATTTTTTATTATTTTGTATATATTTTTATTAGAAATAAAACATAATTGATATATTATAACATGTTCATGTATTTTTAAAAACACTCAAAATAACTTTAAGATGTTATTTTTGAAAACATGCTAATTTATTTTAAAAAAACAAATATAAAAATATAAAAAATGCATTAAAATTTATGTTTTTTAAAAATAAAAGCAGATACATAAAAAATAAATAAAAAACAAAAGTGATCCCAAATAAGCACCACGTATAATGAGACCCAAGGTAAAAGATGTGATAAAGAAGCCAAAATATATCTATAAAAAAGGTAGACTACAATGAACGGATCATGGAATATTGAATTTTAAGAAGAAAATAAAATTACTTTATTAGAAGCATCTGCCGATCTGATTCCGACGAGATGAAATCTTCATCGTCCTGTGTAATATAATCATTCGATCGATCATTCGGAATCCTCACTAGCTCTTGACGTGTTCCATTGAGAGAAATGTTCTTCCCTTTACCAGCTTCGGCAGCTTTTCTCACAGTAGCCACCTACATAATTAGGCATATAAATAAGTTAGGAACCTCATAATACATACAAATAAACAAATTCGAAGTTAAAATGAATTCAGACACAATGTATTTACATATCTCACACTTATGCTTTCATATTTACAGCATAGCACTCAAATCATTAATATCACGCCGAAAATAATATTATTATCATTTTTAAAAGTGAAATACATATTTTTATCCATAGGCTTAAAGCATCAAAATGATGCATATGTAAATATGAATGTTTAGGTGTGACATATGTAACTACAAAAGAATTCTGTGCTCGGTACCAAAATTTCTCTATTTTGAAACAAAAATGGGGTATTTACATAGATACCACACAATTTTTACCCATGTAAATTTTTAAAATTTAAACTACCCAAATCTTTACACGCTAAAAAAATTACTAATACGTACTAACTTTTTGTAAAGAGAAATAAACCTTTTTATGCATAAGTAATTATGTAAAATTTTTGTGGTATGCAGATAACTTATCCTAAAAATAATGTTCATGACAAGAATAAAAGCCCTTAAAGACTAAAAAACTACAATCAAGTTAGAAGAAACCGCCAGAGCATAACGTGTAATACTGCAATACAGATTATATTCGTGTAACTACCTGTTTATGAGCAGAAGTTGTCCACCTCCTTCGTCTCTCGAGCTCAGCTTCGTCAATCCCATACCGAGCCGGTTCTCTTGCAGCTACAGCAATAGCCTTATCTAACTCCTCAACCTTTCTATCACGGAAATGAAAGGTTCAAGATAGCTAAAAAATTAGGGAAATTTACATAAATACCACACAATTCTTACGTCTTTACATATCTAAAACCTAACTTTTATATTCACATTTATAACACTTTCGTGTCATAAAACTATGCATGAAGACATGTATTTCACTTTTAAAAAAGTACAAGTGGTATTTTTTATTTGATATTAAGGATATAAGGGGTATACATGTACATATGAAAGTTTAGGCATTGGATATGTAAATACATAAGAGTTGTGTGGTATGTCTGTAAATGCCTCAAAAATTTAACTCAAGATACATTATGAATAAAAGCTGATGATTATAATCTAACAAAGAATATGTGAACTTCAATTAAAAAAACAAGCAAATCAATTTCAATAATTTTAATCACAATACCTGCCATTCAATACTATCACAGTTTGTAAGGAGCTCCCTGGTTAGAAGAGCACGCTCCCCAGTTTCTGAAGGCGAAAATTCCCATTTGTGAAAAGTAGATTCTAGCTTGTCAATCTGCAAAAAACAATTGGAGATAAGAATACATATTAGAGAAGCCCCAGAGGTTTATGAACTCCTTCTGCTCGCTTCGCTCTACCACCCTACATGCATACAGACGCACCACCAGATTTATAATTTGATTAAAATTCTTTAAAATGAGGGAATTTACATACATACCACACAATTCTTCGGTATTTAGATATCTAACACCTGAACATTCATATTCACATCTATACCACTCAAATCTTTAAAATCACATAAAAAATAGTACAATCACCATCTTTTTAAAAGTTAAATACACCTTTTCATGCATAGGTTTATGACACCAAGATGTTACAAGTGTGAATATCAAAATTGGGTGTAAGATATGTGAATACATAAGAATTGTGTGATATGTATGTAAATTTCCCATAAAAAAATAGTAGAGTTATCCTCAGACCTCTCATGTCATTCACCATTTCATCCAAATATTTAAGTGGTTGAAACATAAAGTAGAACAACCTCCATTTCAATTTTCAATGTCATAGTTAGTAAAAATTTATTTTAAATCACAACCATTCAAGAATATGATAAATAATGTAAAAACTGTCAGGATGAAAGGCAGTCCTATTCTCCAAAATGGATGGTAGGCTCTCCCGCACCATGCTTTATATGAGACATGGACTAGTTCTATGTAAAAACTGAAATAATAATAATAATGATACGACGGTTCAAAATAATCATCTCAACATTATCGTAAGTGTGAGAATATTAAGTTCCCCTCATTCAAGAGAGAGACAGAGAAAGGAGATCGAGGGATAAGGCAGAGGTGAGAGACGCGAGCGAGTGTTTGAGGTGAGGGTGTGTGAGAAGGTAAGGGAAAATTTGGGATGTAAGTTTATATTTTAATAAGTTAAATTAAGATTACATGATAATAGTATTAATTTCCGTTTTTGCTAATTTAAATAGAAAGCATGGAAGAAAGAATATTGGATTGTAAATCAAGAAAGTTTGGTCAAGTAAGGCTTAGAGACTAGAATTGTTGGCTTTCTAGAAGGAAGAACGAAATAAAAAGTTAAGGAATAGGGTTTGGTGTTTTTATTTATGGAAGTTATTTTGAAATGTTAATAAGGTAATATTAATATCTTCTAAATTAAAGTCAAGTATTAAGATTATGAGAGCAATCAAATTAGAGGATGAGAGATATGCCCGGTGACCATGCAATAGAAAAAAAAGCTTTCTAGAAGAAAGAGAGAAACAAATAGGCTTAAGGTAATAATTATGTTTCTAAGTTACAATAATACGTCTTCTGAAGTTACTCTTGATTTCAGTTCTTTTATTTTTCATGTTCTATATCAATGAAATTAAACTATAATTGACTCTTAATATTGATAGACATGAGATTGCATGTAGGCATTTTTGCATAAATAGTACACAACAGTATTTTTTTCATAGAATGACATTTGTTTATTACGATGACCTTCAAATTATGTTAAGATGATATTTATTCGTTAATAGATCAATAATAAATATTTCATAAGAAATTAATGCATAATATGAAGAATGAAATATATATATATATATATATATGAACATTTGCATGTGCATGCCAAGAAAAAGAGTTCAACTCCTTATCGTGATGGCTAGGGACTCATTATACCCACACGTGTAGATATTTTTCTCAAACAATCATGTAATTTAGATCACAAATCATTGCGCTGACGAAACAATATCGATCAGAAGTGCGTATGTACATTTCACCTCAGACAATAGTAGATCTGGCTTACACACACTATGTCGAAAGTGTATGTATTGGCCAAGTGTGTGTTATGTTATGTTTAGATGGTGTTCCTAAGACTACTGTACAAAATAAGAGTAAAATATGCATCAAAATTAAAAATTAAATCTTGAAATATAAAGTAAAAGTTAATCCATGAAGAAATTTTAGATTTCTTCTGTGAACAAACATCATGAATATACAATTTAAATTATTATATGATTTTCTAGAACATACACGGGTAGATCAACATAAATACTACATTTTTTTTTCCTTATGTTACTTTAGTTTAGAAAATGTAATTGCTCCACTGAATTATCTTAAATAATTAATTTTTATTTTAATAATTTTTTTCAGGATTAAATTTTTGAATAAAAGATGAGTACTAGATGAGAGAATGTAAACAGAAAGTAATATCAAAAAAACAGAAAGTAAAACTTATTATTTGTTAATTAGATTATTTTCTTTTGTAGCTCTTTCAATTTATATTTGAATTGTAATTTGATAGTGATTAAAAATAAAAACTAAAAATTTTAATTTCACCGTCCAAATATCTATTTTCGTTTGAAAATTTTCAAGTCGCGGACTATGTCGTGACACAAGTGATATCAGAGCGAAGAGTTAAATTAAGCAACATGAATCTTAACGACGGAGTCATTAGGATAATTGTGAATTTTTAACTATTAATAATTTAAGTGATTTGACTTAGGTTAACTCTAACTAAATAACTTTATTTTTATCTCAGACATATGGATGCTCCATAAAAGATCGAGGATGCTCGAGTGGAGAGACTTGAGAGGAATTATCGCTCAATTTCATTGTGAATACAAATATCTTAGCTTAAATGATGGCAACTATGACCCAACTTATTCAAGATTCTAGATCGCAGTCAAATTAAAACAGTGGTTTGAAGATATTTCAGGATTTGCAGACGTCATTGTTTAAGGAAACAGAAGAGCCAATTTAAGCTAAAAAATACCTACTACGAATAGAGAAAATTTTCAACAGCATGTCTTTTCTAGATGTGAGAAAAGTGCCCCAAGCTGCTTTTGTATTAGATGGGAAGTTGAACGATGGTGGCAAAAGCAACGTCATGACAAACTATGAGATATATCAAATAGGTAAGTTAACTAGGGAGATTTCCTCGAATTATTTAGAGAATGTTTCATGCCCCTTGCTACACAGAGGTGATGCAACATAAGTTCATCAGCTTGCTACAAGGAGAGAGGACAATAATACAGTATAAAACTAAGTTCACTACAATGTCGAGATATGCACCATAACTAACATTTACTGCAGAAGAGAGTGCTATAGGTTTCTTTCTGGAATGAAAGATTCAATCAAACACCCATTAATATCACTTGAAATTAAGACAATTTAGTGATAGTGGAGAGAATCAATTTTCAGTTGATTCGGAAGCATAGAGACATGCATAAGAGGAAAATCTTGGAAGAGATGGCAAAAATAGTTAATTCTGGAGGATCAGATGGAAAGAAAATGAAATTATAGAATGATAGATTTAATAGTTAAGCTGGCGACAACAATATAAAAACATATGTTAAGTGTGGAAAGTTACACCATGGTGAATGTTTCTTTAGTTCTAAAGTATGTTGTTTATGCACACTGTCTGGACAACAATTAAGGACTGCTCTAATTCTACTCAAAAATCTACACCAAATGCTAACTCAAGGAGTTTAACTCAGAGAAATTTTCAGAAATGATCTACTTTTTAGAAGTAGCCAACAAAAGATAATAGAAGCCAATACAACGACTCATAAAAAACAACCAAGGCAGAACTTCGGCCAAGAGTCTATTCCAAAACTGAAGAGTCTATCGTTCTTTATGTAGATGCTAACAAAGTTTGAAGAATGATTTGTCATATGGGTGTCACATTAGTTATCTTACCTTAGTTATGTGATTAAGTCTCAAATATTTAAGGATTGTTTAGTTGAATTATTATTTTTTTATATATTGGATTCAGCATATATGCTTTTGTTAATGCATAATAAAAAATGGACATTCTTGAAGATTTTTCGACAGCTCGTGTTTCATCTGCATAATGATTTAATTTTCTGAAATTCATAAATTTCGAGAACGAAATTTTAGAATTAGAGGTTGTAATAACTAAAAAATAATAATAACAATAACCATAATAATAATGGATTGATTTGAAATAACTGCTTCTACGAGTTTGTAAGTGTGAGAGTATTAAGTTCCTCTCATTCGAATATAATCAGATTAATGGAATGAAAGAGCAAAAAAGATAATGGATAGAGAAGAGACGAGAGCGAGAGTTGGAGGTGAGGGTGTGTGAGAAGGAGAAGGAAATGTTAGGATTTATGTTTTTTATCTTTTAATAGGTTTAAAGTTAATTGTAGAAATATTATTTTCTTTTTTTGTTAATTTAATTAGAAAACAAAGAAGAAAAAATATTGAATTGTAAATCGAGGAAATTTTGTTTCGTACAACTTAGAGACCAGAATTGTTGACTATAATAGATGGATAAAGAAAGAAAAAGTAACGAATTGGGTTTGGTGTTTTTATTTAAGTTATTTTGAAATGTTAATAAGATAATATTATTATATTATGAATTAAAAACAATGATTAAGATTGTCCGAGAAATCTAATTAAAGGAGAAAGGAGAGACCGATGATTGTAGAATAAAAAAAAGATATTAAAGAGAAAGAGATAAACAAGTTAGTTTAAGATGAGCTATTATGTTTCTAAGTTATAGTAATATCTCTTTTAAAGCTAGTCATGGTTTTAGTTTCTCTTTTATACTTTATCAATGAAATTAAACTATAACGGGCTCTTCATATTGATAGATATGAGATATGTATGTAGACAAATCTGCATAAAAAGTGGCACAATGATTTAATTTATCATAGAATGATAGTAGATTTTTCACATAACATTTAAATTATGTCAGGTTAACATTTATTCACTAGTAGATTAATAATAAATGTTTTAAAAGAAGTTAATGCATGCAATGAATAATAAAAACAGTGTATACATGAATATTTGTAAATTACACGATTGACTAAGATAATAGAAAAATAACTATGCATGTGAGCATCTTGAAATAAGTGAGTGAACTTATCTTAGCATGCATATAATGTCATGAAATGTCATGTTAACGGGAGAATTTCAATAAGAGATGAATAAAGACATTTCCACCTCAAACAATACTAGATTTGTTATGCGCCTTGTTATGCCGATGGGATATGTATCAGCCAAGGGTGTGTTGTGTTTATATGGC